GGGGGGGTTCTTTACCCGTTCGCAAGGGGTACAAGGGAACGTCAACGTGCGAGGCTTCCAAAGCCATGGCGATGCACCACACCTTACCCTTTCCTCTAAATAATAACAAATCAAATAACTTGAGATTTATTTTTCATATTCCCGTGTGCACCTTTTTTCTACTTCTTCTTTATTTTCACCTTTTTTTCTGTTTGTTTGCCTTTTCTTGGATTTTATTAGTATTTATTGCATTAAGGTTAGAGGGAGTCCCAGCTAACATTTAAGTTGTACTATATCCTGCGTTACAGCTGCATCCATTTTGGGGGCAAACCCCGTTGTGCAAGAAATAAAAAGGTTCGGATTATATATTTAGATATATACATCAAAGTTTACATCGATCGCTTTTATTTTGAAAAGGGTTTAGATTTCGCTGCTTACTGTGGATTAAACATAGTTTTTATTTATTTAAAATTGTATGATTTACATTTTACTATTTCTTAGTAGTAGTGATAGCCATATTATTGTTATTGTTATCATTATTTTGGTGAATCCCATCCTGGAGTACCCCCTGTTTGATCCTTCTGTGCCCCTCCACCGAAATGATTTTAAAAGTGCCTTTGCAGCCGCTGAATGTACGTGAAAGGACGCACAGCGCGTCCCCGTTGACGACGTTCCCTCATTCTACGGCGTTCGATCGGTTAAACCGATCGTCCGAGGGGGGCGTACTGTTAATATTAGAGCGCGTGCGCACGCGCGATGGGGATGTGCTGTCCGATTTAGCAGGGCAAGCGCAGCTTCGGGTCTTTCTGCTCATTCCGGCTCGCCAATCCCCCCCGGGGACGATGATGTCCCCCGCGGCCGCTCCGCAGGTCATCGCCCGACCCCACGCCGGCGAAGTCCCCCCGCGCGGGCCCTCGTCTCTTGGCGAACCCGCCGAAAAGGAGCCCTCCGACGCCGATGGCGGCTTTGCGGGGCCGCCGTCGGGCGGGCCGGACCCGACAAAAAACGGGGATTCCGTCGCCATTCGGCTGATGTTACCGCCCCATGTCGGCCGCAACGGCCCCGCCCATTCCCCCGCGGCGGATCCCGCCCCGGCGACGACGACGACGACGACGACGGCGCGGAGTCTGCCCGAGGGCCCCTACGAAGTCCTGCCCGAATTCGCGCAGAAGTCGCCGCTTTTGTGGCTCTCGGCGGAAACGGGCGACGACCAGGCGAAAACGGCCCCGCTTTCCAACGAGAAGGGGGGGGGGGGGTGGGGTGGGT